TGCGTGTCACTGGTGACATCATCACATGGCTGTATCCCTTTATGCTGACCGTTACAGCACAGGTACTCGCTGCAGTATTCTCCTGATTGATAAGTGTCACAACTCAAACAAATCCTGCACATCAGTGCTGGTGTAGGAGAAGTTGTCAAAACGTGACACAAATAAATTGCTTTGAAAAGTTTTTGGGTTTTTTTACACAAAGTCATATTTTCAAACTGTTGCATCATCTCCTCTGTATAATCTATAAATCTCTGAGCATCTGTGTCATTATAATGGTAAATGGACTGGTTCTTATATAGCGCTTTTCTACTCTGTCCGAGCACTCAAAGCGCTTTATACAGCTAATTCATTCACCCAATCACACCCATTCACACAAGCACTTCTAAGCCTAAGTGCTAAGTATCTAACATTCATACACATTCACACTCCGATGGATGCATTGGAGAGCAACATGGGGTTAGTATCTTGCCCAAGGATATTTGGCATGCAGACTGGAGCAGCCTGGGATTGAACCACCGACCTTCTGGTTAGTGGCTGATCCGCTCTGCCACCTGAGCTACAGCCACCCCAATAATCACAGTAACAATCGACACAATCCTCCTGTCTTCATTTAGCATGCCAGGTTACAAAAATCTTGAGTGCATGAACAACAGAAATGACAGATTCCAATTTGCCTGGCATGAGACAGTGGGTATAATGGGGCCCTGATAGACTGTAAAACTATTCAAGCTCATTAGTCCAACATGTGTGGCATTATACATCTTATAATTACAAAATGGGTATAGGACTGTTACAAAAGAAAATACCTGAAAGGTGATTTTACACATTCACATTTTTTACCAGATTAGATGCCACATACTAAATTGTTATAGCCACTACCAGTTTTATTAATGTACCAGTTTTGGCTTTTAATGAAAAGTTTTGATGGTGAGGTTAATTTTGCACACTGCACTCCCCTCCAGAAGTGAGCAGCAGGTCAGCATGGATCACATGAACATTAATTGAGGATGCAGAGAGTTACAAGGACTTGTGTGGTTCCAGGCACCTTTATTGTTCCATTGGTGATAAACAGTACACCAATGACAACAATGGAAATCTGTTATCCTACAAAGTAGTTAATGCACTTATGACTGGTGGAGAATAGTTCAAATAAAGTAATCCAGTGCAACAGCAGTACAAACTGCAGTGTGACATAAAGGATGGACAGGATACTCTCTTTTGGAAATCATGTTAGAAAACTGGACATGATAGCCAAGGGGTGGATGTGACTAAGAATCCAAGAGACACTGCACACTCAAAATGAATCACCAAAGTAGTCATACATCAAAGCATTCTTATATTTTACACCAAATGATGATTTAATAAATTAACCCCATGACATCTTAAACAAGACTTGAAACTAGCGATAGAGCTTGTAAGTCTCCTTCCTCCTCCCCAACCGGTCACAGCAGATGGATGCCCCTCCATGAGACTGGTTCTTCCTGTTAGCTGGGAGTTTTTCCTTCACACAGGAGGTTGTCTGATTGTTGGGGGTTTCCCTGTATTATTGTAGGGTCTTTACCTTACAATATTAAGTGAATTGAGGTGACTGTTTTGGTGATTTGAGGCTATACATATAAAACTGAATTGAATAAACCCATCAGAAATGTGTTCATTGAGGTCGAAGATAAAGTGAAAAGTAACAGTTTTTCCCTCACAGAATTCTGTACAAGGACTCTTCTTTTGGCAGTCAAAGGAGTTGCCTCTTTCTGAACATTAGAAAGAATGCCGTTTTCAATCACTCACAATAATTTAACCTTTGTGTATGTCAGTGGTTGCAATATTTGGCCTGTTACACAGTATTTGTAAGTCATTAGACAAATCTTTTCTTGATTGAAGCTGATTTGTATAATTGGCTACCATTATTCTGTTTTCCACAGGCTGAAGCAGAGGGTTTTTCCCACTTCCACTTGTACGTCTGTGCGGCTTTCCTCATTAAGTGGCGCAAAGAAATCCTGTCCATGGTTGACTTTCAGGTACATTTGTCTATGTCATCCAGTCACGGCAGAGAAACTAATATGACCATTTAAGGCAGACTGGCGGAGAAGGGCGGAGTCCTGCTTTTATGTGTATTTTACTCTTAATGGTACCATCATTTATTACTAAATAAATCTGCTGCAATTGGTAAGACTTGAAACTAGTGACTAAGATGATGAACTAGAGCACAGGTGTCAAACTCCAGGCCTCGAGTATCCTGCAGGTTTTAGATGTGTCCTTGATCCAACACAGCTGATTTAAATGGCTAAATGACCTCCTCAACATGTCTTGAAGTTCTCCAGAAGCCTGGTAATGAACTAATCATTTCATTCAGGTGTGATGACCCACGGTGATATCTAAAACCTGCAGGACACCGGCCCTCGAGGCCTGGAGTTCGACACCCCTGAACTAGAGCAAGGGGGCAGTAGGTTTAAATACTGTAATTTGACTTCCTTTTCTTTCATCCTTCTAAACATCAACATGTCAGTGTAATCATTTATTTACGGAGCCCCGCAGGGGACATGGGAGAAAAAAAAAATTAAGACGGACTTTTGCGAGATCTCGCAAAACAAACTTGGGCTCGCAAAAGTTTTAGCCGCATTCTTTGGAGGCCGCCGACTTGAAGCCGACCGGGAGGTCGAGGCACGATGTGCCGGGAAAGCGGTGTTCCTCCCGGCTGTAGTAGGTCTCGACCTCCCGTTAGCTTCGAGCTAGTGGGTGTCAGATCCCCGAAAACGTCGGAGCACTTTTGCAAATATGTGATGTCTTGTAAACCGATCAGGTATCTGACGTTTACACAACTACATTCACGCCTCAAAATATCTTAAAAGTGTATTTTGTGACCCAGAAAGAGTAATATTACAACTAAGTAGCTGCTGCCATTAAAATTTGAAATTAGCAAATATTTAAGGAAGGTAGGCAGCCTTAATGCAAAATCCAAAAGATTAGAGGAAGAAAATATAATCTCTCAAATCACACAGTTATCTAATAAACAAATTGACACTTTAACTGAAGAGGATAAATTGAACCTTGCTAAATTACAAGATAAATTAGATTGTTTATACACAGACAAAGCAAAAGGAGCTTTTATCAGATCAAGATCTAAATGGCTTGAAGAAGGTGAGCGTAATTCCCATTATTTCTTCAGTTTAGAAAAGAAACACTCAAGCATAAATAATATTAGCAAATTAATGATAAATGGGGTTATAACAGAGGATTACAGATTAATCTCTAAACATTGTAGTCATTTCTATAAGGAACTTTATAGCTCTACATTTTCTCAGGAAGCTGCAAATCATCTCTTAGAATCGCTGAATGTTAAATCTATCAGCCAAGAAGATTCTATATTATGTGATCAACCCATCTCATTAGAAGAAGTCAAAGATGCAATTGGCCTATTAAAAAATAATAAATCTCCAGGTACGGATGGTCTTACTGCTGAATTATATAAAACTTTTTCTGAAGAGTTGTCTCCCTTTCTTCTTGAGGTATTTGCAGAAAGCATAGGAAACCAACAGCTTCCCACTATGATGAATCAAGGTTTGACTACGTTGATTCCGAAGCCTAATAAGGACCTATTAATGATTGATAATTGGAGACCAATTAGCTTGCTAAATAATGATTATAAAGTATTTGCTCTAATTATAGCTAACAGACTTAAGATGGTTCTTGACTCTGTTATTGATGAAACACAATCTGGCTTTATGCCCAAAAGACACACAACTAACAATATCAGATTGGTTTTAGATATTCTGGATTATTCTGACCTCATAAATTGCAATGGTTTCATATTATTTTTAGATTTCTACAAGGCCTTCGATACGGTGGAGCATGAATTTATATTTCAAGCTCTGGATAAGTATGGTTTTGGCTCTTACAGCGATTAAAACATTATACCATAACAGTAACAGCAGTATTAAATTAACAAACGGTACTTCACCCAGATTTAACATACAAAGAGGGATAAGACAAGGCTGTCCCATTTCTCCATACCTGTTTTTGTTAATTGCCCAACTACTGTCTAACCATATGAAATCAAGCAATGTAAAAGGTATATCGTTAATTGGCAAAGATTTACTCATAACACAGTTAGCGGATGACACTACATTATTCCTAAAAGATGAAGATCAAATCTCTATTGCTATTGAAACAATCTCCATATTTTCCAAAGCTTCTGGATTGTACTTGAATATTCCTAAATGTGAACTTATGGCAATAAAAGAATGTTCGAAAACAGCTTTGTGTAACATTCCAATAAAACAAGAAGTTCGTTATTTAGGTATCATAATAACCAAAAATCAGGAAAGTAGAATCACTCAAAATTTCTATCCTATTCTAGAGAAACTCAAACACAGATTTAATCAGTGGCTCTTGTCGTTAAAAGGCAGAGTATTAATAACTAAAGCCGAAGGCATCTTTCGTCTTACATACGCTGCATTGGCATTGCACCTTGATAAAAAACTCATAAAAGAGGTTGATAAGTTACTTTTCAACTTTATCTGGAAAAATAGGACACACTACATTAAAAAAAACAGTTCTTATGAACTCCTATGTCAATGGAGGACTTAATGTGTTAGATTTTAACACTTTAAATAACACATTCAAAATAAATTGGTTAAAGAATCTAATTACTAATCCTACTTCCATTTGGAATACTATACCTGTGTTCATGTTTTCTAAGTTAGGTGGCACTGAATTTTTCCTTACTTGTAATTTTGATATTGATAAAATCCCTTTAAAAATCTCTGCTTTTCATCGTCAAGCTTTTTTAGCATGGACTCTTATTTACAAGCATAACTTTAGTCCACACAGTTATTATATCTGGAATAACAAGGATGTTTTATTTAAAAGAAAATCTCTCTTCTTAGATAGTTGGTTTAGGAATAACATTGTTTTAGTCAACCAATTATTTGATTCAAATGGTAGGCTTTTCTCCTATGAAGAATTTTGTTTAGCTTTCAATTTAGCTATAAATCGTCATGATTATACAAAAATATTTGGATCAATACCATCAGGGGTTTGTATGCAGTTTAAGAATCAACCTAATATCACTTCATTCCACAGGCCGTTGGCATCTCCCATACAAACTTCTGTTGGCAAGATTTGCTTTTCTAAGCAATCTAAAAACAACAATAAATCGATCAGAGCTTTATTTCAGAGTATTATAACCACGCTACCATATGTCATTTTTTTCTGGAACCGGCTGTCAGATAGTATTATGTGGAACGAAGTTTGGAGACTCCCTAATCATGTTAGGGGGACTTCATCCGGATGGATTTAGTGGCAGAAACACACACAAGCACAGGATAGTAGTGATGCAGATTTATATACAATGATGGGGGAATATTTACAAGGGAAGGGGCTATATACAGTGACAGGTAAAAATGTGCACAGAGAGCAGCGCTGAAAGGATGAGACGGAGCCGAGGTATGCGGGCGGACCGATGACGCACCGGAATTACCTGAAAACGAGGGACAAACAAAGTTACAGAGTACGTCGATAGCCGAGAGTTAAACTAAAAGTGGACGGGGAGAGTTGAGAGCTTACTTGCAACACAGAAATACAGCTGTAGCGGTGGTCACAGCCTGGTAAGAAGTAACTCTCCGTCACCGATCCAAAGAAGCCAATACACAGAAAACTAGGCAGGCGAGCAGGCAGCGGGACAGGCTAGAACAAAGGAGAAGCAGGCAGGTGATGGATCCTAAAAACATGCAGCTCAGTCGCGTGGAATCAACAGATTCAGCTTGCACCAACACGTTACCACTTATGAAAACGACAATACTCCAACACCAGACGTCCGAGACTCAGCTCCATAAAAGCGCTCACTGATGACGTCCGATGCGCCGCAGGTGTGCCGGAATGCCATCAAGCCCCGCCCCGCCTACCTGTGCCAAGAAGGGAAACAAAACCCAAGAACAACAATACACCTACCCACCACCTCCTAACAAATCAGTTTTTAATTACCAACAAAATGAAAGATATTTCTTATAAATTAATACACAGAATTTATCCTTCTAAAGATTATCTTCAAAGCAAATTCAAATTAGACATTGATACAAGCTGTAGCTTTTGTAAAACTTCCAAGGAATCTACTATACATCTTTTTTGGTTTTGTAACCTTGTACAAGATTTTTGGCAGAGTTTATGTGTTTTTATTTCAGAAAATATATTTAAAGGATTTGTACTGTTTTGGAAATATGTTTTGTTTGGTCTGCACAAAAACCAAAAACAATTCAACTTTGATAACAGATATATGATTAACTTGTTAATTTTAATGGCTAAATTTCATATTCATAAGTCCAAATGTTTAGGAAGACATCCCTCTTTTTATGTATTCTCCTTTGAACTTGTACAGTATCTTAACTCAATTAAGAACTCCACTATCCAAAAGCTATAAAAACTATTGGTGTTTGTGAAAAAATCAAGATCTTTCAATCACGTTATTCTTTGGCTTGATCAGTTACTTTCCCCCTAGCATATTTATATTGTTGTTTCTCAATACTGTTCTTGTATTTGTTTATCTATGCATACAATTCTTTTGTAAGTACAACACCATTATTGTGGTGCTGTTTAATTCCATTTTGTATAGTACTGATGTTTAAATAAATGTTTGAAAAAAAAAGAAAAAAAAAGTAGCTGCCGCCATTGTTGGAATTCAACTTTTGAAGTTATGCGAGATCACGAGTTTGTTTTGCGAGATCTTGCAAAAGTTTTACGAGTTCCCGAGTTTGTTTTGCGAGATCTCGCAAAAGTTTTGCGAGATTCCGAGTTGGTTTTGCGAGATCTCGCAAAAGTTTTGTGAGATCTCGGAAAAGTCCGTCTTAATTTTTTTTTCTCCCATGTCCCCTGCGGGGCTCCGTATTTATTTGATCACCAGAAAATAAAAGTGTTGCTTGTAGTTTTGTAGTAGGTTTACCAACCAAGTATGCATGTACATCTGCTAAGTTTTATATGCTAACCCATATGTAACGTTTGACAATGAAAGGCTTTGTATCTCCAACTTTCAAAACACTGAGTATCTTAAGGACTCTCTCTTGCTCTTTAGGGTCTCCTCATGCTACTGCAGAACCTTCCTACAATCCACTGGGGGAATGAAGAAGTCGGTCTCCTCCTGGCTGAAGCTTACAGGCTCAAATACATGTTTGCAGATGCTCCCAGCCACTACAAGAGATAAGCCCAATGCTTCCGCACCAGGGAAAATGCTGCATTTTGACTTTTAAAAATCAATTTAAACCTTGAGTGGGCAACTTTGGTGTCTGAGATGCACATCAGGTGCTGTCTCTGAGGTAACGTAAAAGAGACTGACGGGATGTTATGTCAGTGATATCAACTGTGAAAATGAAGTCCAGTGAATATTAAGTGGATTTGGGGGCTTACATTGCACACAGCTCAGTGAATATGGGACTATTTTGCAGGCAGCGTTGCACTGCAACGGTGGACTGTGACAGTATAAATAACAACTCGACTATGCCACTCTGGTTTACTTATACTGTTTTTGGTCATCTCTTATGTTCACTGTAAGCGTGAAAGAAGACACTGTAATATAGTGGGATGATGAATGTTTGTGAGATCATCCTTTTAGTGAGAAATGGTATCTAAAAATTATATTTTTTGCATTTTTTGTTTTACAAGGGACAATATTGGGTATAAAGCAGGCAACTGGAATACAAAGCTTAGTTTTACATTGCCTGGCTGGCAGTCCCCTTTCTTTGTTAAATACAGGCTTTTTGGTTTAACCAAAATCGCTCTGTACAATCAGCATCTTTAAAGCTGCGACTGATATTCTGGGTTGTAATTAGTAAGTATTACCTAAGAGTAGCAAATAGAAGGTATTGTATTTCATTTTTTAGGTTGTGTTTGGGGTGTAAAGCAAAAAGACTGATTTGGTGTCAATATCACTTTTAATTTCTAAATCACTGTGAAGAACGGAGGTATAGTTTGGAAATAACAACAACTGTAAAGTTAGAGTTTTATTTAAAAATCTAAACTTAGCACTGTTCAGATCTTTCCTGAACCTGAACTGTGCTAAATTAATTCAGTAGTTACTTAAAATTGTTTAAAATTGTAGTGAAGTTTATACAATTGTAATCCAGCTTTTGATGAAGATTGCAGATTGACACACTGCATCAACACTCAAAAGTCAGCCAGCTGTCAGTTTTGGCCTGAGGTTTTACCCGGGCCAAAACTGGAGGTTTTACCCGAAGTGTTTCAAGAGATACCTGTCAGTGTAAAATCTGTGCATAATTACAAGTGATTAAAAACATTCAATAACATCAGTTATACAGAATATTTACAATCAGTATGTTTTAATTGGAGGAAATGCCTGTGTTGGTATTGAAAGTCATTATGCTATCTGAATGCAGCTCCACATCCCTGACAATACCCTATAGAGCATTGGTAAGGTACACATGCAGTGTAATGCTTTCCTGACATGCTCCATGAAACTATTTGTGCAACAGTGTTTTTTTTCTTTCTTTTTTCTTCTTTCTTTTTTTTTTAAAATATGATTGTGTGCGTTACAACTCATCTACCTTCATTGCCAGTGATAATAATAGTGCAACATATGTTTGAAAGGTATGACAACACTCTTATACTTTGTGCATCTAATAGAAAGAAAATCAATCTAAGTTGGGTCATCTGCTTCACTCTTTAACCTGATTCATTCTGGACCAAAGTCTCTGTTGGAAAGTTGTGACGCCCAGCTGATGGCTGCCACCGTCATCACCATAGATCACAGCAGACTGAATGGAGCAACATTGTTCATGAGTCTTAATCCATTTCAACTATAACTGGAGTTCTGAGCTACTTAATGGCATTTTATTCAGTGAAGTGCTACTGAAGACATGATGGTGAAATAGATTCTCCTTTATTTATGAAGGAACACCAGTCTTGTCCACTATTTATCAGTCATCAGATTTCCATAATCAATCTTCACCTACCACCTTGAATGTTTTTTGGAGTGTTACAGTATGCGTGTAGCCTTAAAGTCACTTTCATTCATTCAGGCGAGCCACATGATTGTCATTACTGTGACTCCATGCTGGGGTTTTTTGTTTGTTGGTTTGTTTGTTTTAATTTAAAGGTCATTCTGTTCAAAAAATGTGATGTTAATAGCTAAAGACTTAACAAATTTTTTTTTTTTCCATGCAGCTGCAACAACAAATCCAATCTTTATTGGAAAAGTACAGCCTGTTTTACAGAGTGCTTCACTAGTCAATGCTGGCTTCAGCCTTAAATGAAGACTTGTTAAATTATTACAGTCTCAGCTGTATATTTACCTTTTCTGATTATATTAAACAAACAAGATGTGTGTACATGGATTGGGTTGATATATTATTTTATAGCACCATTTAAAGCATGCAGTTCCAACATCCTTCACATTTATGATAAAATCTATGTGAGGAAAAATTATACAAGCACATATAGTGATGTGAAAAGGTATTTGCTGTCTTCCTGGTTTGTTTGTTTGTTTGTTTGTTTGTTTGTTTGTTTGTTT